CATACAACACACACATACATCTTGTGTCTGTGTGCCTGTAAGAGAGAGAGAGTAAGACAGACAGACAGACAGACAGATATACTGGGGCTTGAACTCAGGGCCTTGAGCTCTTGCACAGCATTTTCTGCTCACGACTGGCACTATAGCACTTGAGCCACTCTTCTACTTCCAGTTTTTTGCCAGTCAATTGGAGATAAGAGTCTCACAGAGTTTTCTGCCAGGGCTGGCTCTGAAAGATGAGCTTCAGATCTCAGCTTCCTGAGTAGCTAGGATTACAGGCATGAACCACTGGCAATGGCTCTTTGATGTTTAAGAAAAAATGGAAAAGTAGAAGAATAACTAGAATCAGGGCAGATCTACCACCAGTGCCAAGTTACCCTCTGCGTTATATTTTTAAGGCAGCCTAGATCTACAGAACCTGCAGGTTAAGCACGAGACACAGCGCCAGGTAAGATATCAACAAAGCTAGCCTGAAGAAGGGTAGAGGTAAGTATGCGCCCAGCTACTCTATTTTGTATCTATTTAACTTCCTATCCGATGAACCTACCTATCTTGGTTCTCTACTCCTGCCTTGAGTTTGAAGGCCTTACTAACTTAATCTCGAGTGGGTAAACTACATGGAAAAATATTCAAGGAAATACCTCATCCTCCTTGCTTTCTGGTCCCTTCTCTCCCATCAACAATAATATCTTCAATCACTTTTTCTAGGCCCAACAAGTGTCCTTGACTATTGTAATCCTCGGAACTAGGCTAGATAAGCATTTTTCACTTTTTTTTTTTTCCTAGCAGGGTGCTTAGACTCAGAAAAATTCAACAGTTGCTCTGAGTCACACAGTAGATGAGCAGGAGCTACTTGAGGCCTGCTTAATTTCAAAATATGCACTTTATTTCTTGCAAGTTACAAAGTTCCCCATTTAGACAACACTACAGATCATGGTTAGCAATGTGAAAAGTCCTTCCAGAAAATCCCCTTTCCTATGTCCTTCACTGGCCACTCTGCAGAGCAGTCTCCCAAGAACTCACTCTCAGTTTAGAAGAAAATGAATCCATCTCTTTCTCTCTTCCTTATCTTATGGGCTTCTCTGGAACAGGTAGGTCCTGCCTCTGTCATTGTACCATCTGGGGTTACTATGTACAGTATGTTCAGTAGACATGTCCTGAACTGGATCAGGCAAATCCCAGAATCCTGTTACTACATGGCATCCAGACATGATGCTCAGATGAGAAATGATAAAGCTGACATCCCAACGTAGATATCCTGAGTCGAATCTGCATTGAACAAGGCCCCTCTGTGATTAAGGGGCATTCTGAGGTCCCACGCCCACTGCCTGTGCAAACAGATTGTTAATTTGCACCAGTATAGGAGACAAACTCTCTATTTTAAATAATAGAATGACACATAAAGACCTGAAAAAGTTCAAATGGTGTCTGAGGAAAAATTACCTAAGAAATCACTTTGCTTAAAATATCAAGTAGTCCCAAATGTCAAAGAATTCAAGTGAGAATGAAGGCACTGGCCTAAGGTAAAGACTGCCTGAAAACTCTCTTTTGAAACACATGCTCCTATTTAATAAATGTTTATTTAGTGCTGTAAGATAGTATTAATCATCATCAGATTTAAAATGGAATTGCTCATAGTTAAGTACCCCATTAGCATTCAGAAAGTTCTAACCTTGGATATTAACGGCTGACAAATCAGCTAATATCCCATACCTTATTAAGCACCTATCATGAATGAGGCCTTGTAGGGATGAGAGGAAGAGACAAGATATGAATATGACAATCTCTGACCTCCTGTTTTTGCTACAAATAGAGTGACTATCAAAAATATGCAAATCAAACATTTTTGTAAGCAAAGAAGTCATCAAGTACCATTTTCACTATTTAAATGTGAAACCCAATTAGATGCTTGCTATGATAAAAACCAATTAAACTGTTGGTGTAACGCAGCCAAGAACACTGAGTCACTAGGCTATTTTCAATGCCTCACAATCCAATCTGACCTGCCTTGGGAGAGAGTTGTTATATCCAGTATGTTATCAGCATAGGACAGCCAAGATCCAGTCTGGGTAAGTATGGGACCTACCACTACCCTGGAACAGCACGGGACATATCACCAGAACAGAAGAGCATGAGGCTTACTACCAGCATGAGACAGCAATCATATTAGAAGAAACTGGCCATTCATGTCAAGAACAGAACACATATTTGTTTTAAAATTAACAGCCCTTGTGGGTTCTTGGGATTCAAAACCAAGACTCTATAAAAAAAAAATCAACACAAAAAGTATGCACAGATATAATTATAATCCTGAAGAACTTCAGTAATGTTGAATCTCTCACTTAAAAACAAGCAAGCCATTTGAGCGGGCTCCATTGGCTCATGCCTGTAATCCTAGCTACTCAGGAGGCTGAGATCAGAAGATCACAGTTCAAAGCAAGCCTGGGCAGAAGTCCATGAGACTTTATTTCCAATTAACCACAAGAAAACCAGAAGTGGCACTGTAGCTCACATGGGAGAGCGCTCACCTTGAGCTGAAGGGCCCAGGGTTCAAACCCCACAACTGACAAAACAAACAAAAACCAAGTAAGCAAGCTGGTGCCAGTGGCTCATGGCAGTAATCCTAGCTACTCAGGAGGCTGAGAGCTGAAGATCACGGTTCAAAGCCAGCGTAGGCAGGAAGGTCTGTGAGACTCCTATCTCTAACCAGAAAAAAAACTGGAAGTGGGGCTGTGTGTGGCTCAAGTGGTAGAGAAGCAGCCTGGAGTGAAAAAGCTAAAAAGGACAATATCCAGGCAGCCCCAGGACAAGAAAAAAAATTCTTTAAAGCAAGCATTGTCAAGAGTGAGCTATAAAGTCTATCAAGAGTTAAGAGAGATTGTACAGAAAGTTTAAGTGGATTACTACCATTAATGATACACCAAGTAACAAAGATTTTCTCTACTATTTTCACTATTTCTAAAAAGCATTTTCATTATTAAACAGCCAGAAACATCAAACAGGATGAAACCTTTTTAAAAGAACAAAGTAAGCTTTAAGACGATCGTTGCCTATATAAAGATTGATCCTCAGATCAATCCTTCCTTCCAAGAGAAGGATGGAAGGACTGATGACATTGGTCAAGATGCATTGTAGTTTTGTACAACTACCTAAAGACAATGAAAAAATAAAAACTTTAAAAGGTTTATTCTTTCATTCCATATGAACATCTCCAATGATGCCCAGGAATTGTTTTCATCATACTAATTAGGGAAGTTTACTGGGTTCTTAGAACTTGGCATGTTTGATTCTTAGGGGCCAGGTTAACATTTTATAAATATATTTTCTGTAGATTAGATTCCCTTTTTTAGCCTGGCCAGAAATAGTGAGTATAAAACTATTTCTGAATTTACATACAGTGGGGCATCAGGAAAAAAAAGATGCATAATTTTTTAAGAGGAAATTAGCTAAAACCATACTAACAATTCTTCTAAGTCACACTCCCCATCTCTCTGTGAGGTGGAAAGTAATTACTGATTGTATGCCACACACTTTATTTTTAACTAAATCTTTAAGTAAACTGCTGAGAAATAGCAATACTTCTGATTCCGGTTTAGCTGTAATGAGACATTGAATTTGGTTTTGTAAAATAGTGGCCCAGGTCGGACTGTTTCTTTTAAACATTAGGCTTATGTTTACTCAAAGTTTATTTCAAAATCATTTTTTGGGGGGGGGAAGTATCTTTGGCAACCATTTTTCTTTCGGGAAATCTCAGCAGCAGAAAGCAAGAGCGAACATATACCCTTGAATTTGAAGGGTGTCTTCCAAGGAGGAAAGCTCTGTTTTTAAATGCAAGCCAAAATTACTTGGCCAATTCACCAGTCACCGGATGGGGATGAGGACTGGGTTGCTGTGGGGGACGCAGAGGTGTCAATACAGCTAAGTCTTGCCAAGAGCTAATTACCTGGGAAGTCCAAACCGAGGGGGGGGGGGGAACCTCTTCTAAGGAACAAGAAGGCTTGGGTTCTAATGATCAAGATCGACTAGCTCGTCTCTGCTAATTAAATTAATTCAATTTACCTGTAAACAAACAGGTTAACCATTCTGACGAATGCGGGGTGAATACCACAGTATTGATTAAGGAAACAAAAGAACTCGCCCATCTCGGACCCCTGCTTGAACACCTGTGGAGTGCATGAGCTTTTTTAACTCTGGTAACTCAAGCCTCTTGGATACCATCTTCGGAGATTCCGTCCGTTTGTGAACTTGCGCAGACATATTTACAGTCTGCATCTGGTTTCAGCAACAAAACGGGTTACTATCTATGAATCACAGAGCTGAACACAAACTTTCTTACCTAGAGGAGTGGCGGGCACGGAGGGGGGCTGGTTTTGAATCTGGCTCCTCGGTACGTGTCTCCCCGGTTCCCAACCCAAAGCTCCTCCTTAGAAAGGTCAAAGGTCCATTCTGGTTCGGGTGCACACACACCTCCCAACAAAACGCCTCGCCGGCACCCCGACCCGGTGGCCTCCCGAGGAGGGGGCCGGACGCGCGGTCGAAACGCACGGGACCCAACACCCCATCCGGCCCGAGCCCACTCGGACCCAGGGACCTGGAGACGCGTGATGGGGCTCGGGGAGGACAGCGGGCCATCTCCACGCTACTGTTGGGGGGGGGGGACACAGCCCCTATTCAAGCCCGTGGGAAGATCCCCAAATTCCGAGATTGGGGAAGGGGGTGCCCGGTCCTTGTCTCCAGGGCGAGACGCACCCGAAGCCCAGAGGCTGAGCCCCCGCTGTCTGTCGTCCCCGAGGCGCTGATCCAGACGGCCCGGCCGTGCGGACCGAGGGGAACTCTCCTCCCCGCGGCCCGGCGGGGCGCCCCGCGCTGCGCAGTCTCGCGCCCCTCCCGAGCCCGCGCGTCCCCCGCGTCGGCAAGCAGGTGGCGGGGGGTCCTGTGCCCCAGGCGCACGCACTCCACCCCGGGAACCCGGCGTGGCCAAGGTGCCGAGGTCCTCTTACCTCGGAGCGGGCCGGGGCGGCCCGACCGGGCCGGGTGCAGACTGGGCCGGGAAGACGCGCCTCCCGCCGCCGCTGGGGGCCCAGGCGGCGAACGAGCGCGACGAGCTTCTCCCGGGCGGCGGCGGGAGGCGCTGCTCTCGATCGTCGCCGCCGCCGCCGCCGCCGCCGCCGCCGCGGGTTTCGGGGCTCCGCGGCCGCCGCTGCTGGGCCGCCCCCGCGCCGGTCGCTCGGCTGCTGCGGGAGGCCGGCTGCTCGCGCGGCAAACTCTTCCGCACGCTGAGCCGGCGGGGCCAGCCGCCGCCCCCGCTCCTCCTCCCCCTCCCGCGCCCTCCGCCGCCTCCCGCTCCTCCTCCCGCTCCCCTTCCTCCTCCTTCTCCTCCTCCTCCTCCTCTTCCTCCTCGGCTGGGCGGCCCGGTCTCTCCTGGCTCCGATCCAGCCGCGGACACGCACCCCGCCAACGGCGCGGGCAATCGGACCCCAGGACCCCCGGCTTCTGCAGCCAGTGCAGACACCCCGGTGCCCCCCAGGCCGCCGCTGGCCCTGCGGGGCTGCGACGGGTGCGGATCCGGCGGGGAACCTGGGGTCGGGACTGGCAGCGCTGAAGGGTTGCGGGTCGTGCTTGGCGGAGAACCGGTGGGCGAGGGCGGGACGACGCGGGACTAACCCACGGAGGTCCTGTTAAAGTTGTCGCTTGGGGCGGCGGGGGCAAAGAGGAGGAGGAGGAGGAGAGAACAAGATCTTCAGCCTCCGCCTCGGTAGACTCTCGTGCCCGCAGCCACCCTGCTGACCCGGGGAAGGACGCGGATCTCACTGCCGCTCTTTCCCCGAAGCTCCCCGCACCCCAGCCCCGCCGGGCCTCTCTGCGGGGAACCCTGCGGTTTCTCCGGGGGGTGTCGGGGTGGGGGTCCCGGGAGCTGAGAATAAACATTTTTGTTAGCTCAGGATCCGGGCGGCGGCTAGGGAGGGGAATACCCCGCGCCTCGGCCTAGGCGCACGTCGGGGGGCGATGCGGGGGGGGGGGGGGGGGAACCCATCCAGGGTGGCCGGGAACGGATTGAACGGCCCGCCTCCTGTGTTTTCTCCTGCAGAAGCCACGCGGGTGAGGGGCTGCGTCCCGGAGCACGCCCTCCGAGCCCGCCCGGCCTCTCCCCTCCCCCCGGCACCGGGGCAGGAAATGTTCCACTGACCTACATATTTTTCCAAACATACGTGACCTTTTTTTTTTTCCTCTGTGGGAGGAGACAGGCGAGAATCCAAGAAAAAGAGAAGCTGGAGAGAGGGGGGGGGGGGGGGGAGAGAAAGAAGAGAGAGAGAAGGGGAGAGGAAGGAGGCGCGCTGGAGAAAACACGCAGGCTTTCACCCAGCTCCCGCAAACAGCCAGCCGACCCTAGATGCGCACAAATAGACCCCAGGGGCTTCGGCCGGAATCCCCGAGTCCGAGCTGGGGGGGGGGGGAGGGGGGAGGAGAGGCCGTGCGCCCCGCCCAGGGCCGCAAAGGTGGCGGACTTCCCCGAAATTCGCATCCCCCCTTCCACCCCAGCGGCGGCGATCGCTGCACCGACGAGGCACCGGGGTGAACACCTCCCCGCCTCCAACCCCCGCCACCCCACCCCGGGAGGGGAGAAATCCATCCCCACCCCCAAGTCCACTGACAAAGGTCACCCCTTTCCCTGCCATCTTTCAGGTACATTTCCTGGCGCGTCCCGCGCTCGCGCGCACACCCATTCTGGATAGTGGCCCTGGGAAGGAAAGCGCCCCCCGCTGGTCCTTTAGTGAACCCACCGATTTTATGGCCAGAAGGGGTCTCCTGAGGTCTTTCCTTTCCCCCCAGGGCCAGACTGTTAGGGACTGGGAATTTGCCCCCACGCGGTTCTGGGGCCTAGATTTCTTCTCCCCGCAGGAGTTGGGAGGCCCGCTCCAGCGCAGGCCGACCAGCAGTGCCTTATTTGGGCATGCAACCCCACACCGTCAATTAGATGAAAACGTTCACACAGAGCTCCCTTTCCCGCTCCCCCCCCCCCCAAAGTAGGTCATTCTCTTTATTTCCCACTCGTATTATTTATTTTTTTTTGTCTAATTCTCCTCCTGAAAAGTAATCAGCTGTGAGGAGCTTTGAGCATCCTAAGAACTGCTCTCATCCTTTGGCTTGCTCCTGACTTGGAGGGTTTTGAGGAAACGGGGGAGGGGGGGAAAGCGGGGGGGGGGGGGTTGGCATTTGCCCCATCCTGATGTTGAAATGTTGAAGTTTCCCTCTTTCCAAACAGAAAACTATCTATTATCTATCTATCTATCTATCTATCTATCTATCTATCTATCTATCTATCTATCTATGATGTTTGTTTTCCTCCTCATTCTTTTCCTTCAGGCAAGTAGGGTTTGCCCTGCCCTTAAAGCCTGGCTATGACTAATATCTACTAAAGAATGAAGTTGTGTACTTCTAACCGGATTTAATGAAGAATTTAAGGCCACCTCCCTTCCTTTTTGTGCTTTGAGAGAGATTCCAAGTCCCTCTCCTAACTCCCCCCAGGGAACTTGAACACTCAGCCTTCTTTTAGGAAACTTGAAATGGTCTGAGTAAATCACTCATCAGATTACTGCAGTGTAACAAGTATTTTTGCTACGCTCAGTTTTTGTCTGTTGGAGAATCTCTTTATTAGCTAGTGTCTTTCTGTTTGTCATGGAAACAATATGCATGTGGTTGTTGTACTTAATCAAACCATCCCATCTCTTAGGTAAGCCCATGAAGCAGAGAACAGGGTCTCCAGAAGAATTTGCCCTTCCCTGAAAATGTAGAGGAGAATTGCAGAGAGCAGTATACCTCCTTATTCTATGAACTTGACATTTCACTCCACTGACACTTGTTGAAGACTTGCCATGAGTCAGGCTGGACTTGGCCAGGGAGGAGCCAAGGAAATGTTGGGACAGTTTCTGTATACTGAGGGTTTTTACAGATAGAGATAGAGATAAATAGGAGCTAAAGAGAGCTTTCCAGAAGACAAAGTGTTAAACGAATTCAAAGGTTAAATGAATTCAAATGAATTCAAAAAGAGTTCTTGCTATGAATGTCTTAAAGTGTTCTTTTCCAATGACTTTGTGCTCCATCTTGCTACAGCTATAGCCATGTCCTAAAATTGTCATTTGCCAAAAAATGGATGCAGCTCCTCCACAATCTCAAATTCATGGATTGCTCTCTCAGGCTATCACCTTCCTCCCCTTCTTACCTCCCCCCCCAAATCATTCAATCTTCAAACATATCCAATAATCCATTATCTTGCCTTTCATAAATTTTACTCCCTATATTCTTCGTAACTCTTACTTTCTTTTATAAATGCCAAGGCTGGTACAATCTTTACACCTTTGTTTTCTATCCTAAATGCCTGAAAAAGAGACATTTATTAAATTCACCTCCTCTCACTAGGTTTCTGCCTTCATTCAGCCAAATGGGGCTGGAAAAAAAGCACACAGGTAACCCTTGAGTTAAATTCATGAGCACAAACCTCAATGAAGCTCCTTTAGACCTTTAGCATTTATTAAAAAATAAATAAATTCAAAGAAAGGATTCAGAATGGGATTCTTGGAAGAAGTGGCAGTGATACTGGGATTTTTCATTAACCAGAAAACAAAGCCAAGATAGATTATCAACTAAGCATTATTTAAATGTGCAGCATGAGCTTGGGAACAACAGTTTACATATGTAATCCTGGCTACCTAAGAGGCCAAGATCTGAGGATTACAATTTGAAGCCAGCCCAGGCAGAAAACTCCATGAGATTCTTATGTCCAATTAACTAGCAAAAAGCCAGAAGTGGAGCTAGGGCCCAAGTGATAAAGTACCAGCTTTAAGAAGAAAAAGCCAAGAGAGAGTAGGAGGCCAGTACCAGTACAAGAGATAATAAAATTAGATGTGCAGCATTGGAGCAAAAGAACCATTTGCAAACTTCCAGTTACGGGAAATTCTTTTATAGTCCCAGTCATTCATCCTTGATAAGAACTTCATTGGCTGAATACTGAAATGATGTCCCCAAAGAAACCCAGATCTTTTCCAAAGAATCAAAATGCATGGAGGGAAGATAAAAATATTTTGTAGTCATTTAAATGAGTCTTTGGAGATACTGTGAAATAATTTTGTTTGCTTGTTTATTGAGACAGAGTCTCACTGTATAGCCCAGATTGGCCACAAACTTAGAATTCTTCTGTTTTAGCCTCCCAAGTACTAGGGTTACAGATGTGTACTATCACACCCAACTAATAATTAAAAGGCTTCACAGTCTGAATGGGTGAATCTATGGCATATTCTAATTTAAAACATTTATCCAATTAAATTATCAACATAGATATTGAATGACTATCAGTGTTTGGTTAATGTTTTAATGTATGAGTTACTACAATAATTACAGACTAGTCAAGGTTTTGGGACATACATTTAGTAAATTAAACACAATTTTAGGATAGGCAATAAGAATATGGTTCCATGCAGCATAACATCACAACTTTTCTAGTTATTCTAAGTAGAAAGACTGCATGTGTGCATGTGCATGCACGTGCGTGCGTGTGTGCATGTGTGTGTGTGTGTGTGTGTGTGTGTGTGTGTGTGTTGATAGTGAGGCTTGAACTCAGAGCCTGAGCATTGTTCATTTGCTTTTTCACTCAGGGCTAGTGCTACCACTTGAGCCACAGCTCCACTTCTGACTTTGTGCTAGTTAATTGGAGATAAGAATCTCATAGACTTTCCTTCCCCATGCTAACTTCCATCTGTTATCTTCAGATCTCAGCCTCCTGAGTAGCTAGGGTTACGGGCATGTGCCACCAGAACCCATCTAGGAAAACTCTTTGCTTATATATGAATGTTCAGAAGTCTGTCTGTTACTTCCAAATAGCAGTTTTTACTTAAAATTCCATATATTATGAAGTAGAATAATATGATGGTCAAAATAATGTTGCAATCACAGCAGAAAGGAAACTTGGGTAGTAGAAACATGAAGTGGAGGCCTTAGAACCTAATTGGAGACTGACTCAGAGACCAGGGCTTAGAGAACCAATCAAGAAAAGAATTGGGAATGCCCTCTCTGCAATTACCAAGGTCAGAGTTAGAAAAACACCCACCTCAGCTCTCCAGAAGCT